GTTCTGGGATTCTTTCCACTACAAGCAAAGGAGTTTCTGGAGAGGTGATGTGGTGAGGGGCAAGATTGTGAGTCTGGGATCAGTCAGATCCCATGAGAAGTCTTGCATTCTCTCCTTTCTGGCTTGTGACATTTGCATATCCCTGAGCCAATCTGGCCTCACCTTATTCACCTTTACGTTTGCAATAAGACTAGGACCTACTTCAACAAGTTGTTCTGAAGACTTTATGAGATAATGCATGCCAAGTGCTTGCAAGAGTGCCTGGCACCTGGTAAGGGTTCCCTGCATACATTTTCTTAAGTCGTCTGTTTATTTTTGTCTCTAGCTTTACTTTGCCTTTTGAGGAGCTGCTCTTTAAAAACACAAACCCAAATAAAGGCAAGGAACCAACCTGGTAACTGGCATGTGCTTTATACTAGAAATAATAAGTTATTCTTCACAGTTTTTTATGGGTTACCCTTCTTTCACGAGCACTCTTGAGTGCTCGGGGAAGACAATATTTCTCTTTTATAGAAGTTGAGACTGAGAGGCTAATGACTTGTCTAAGATTACACAGGTACCTGTGTCTGAAGATGGACATAGTAAAAGCCATTGAAGGCCTGTCTGCTACTAAGCCCACTTATGCCAGGAGGGCAGTGCTCCATGTGGAGAAGAGGAACCAACAAGATCTCCTCAAACCACCACCATCCCAAACCCCACAAATGCTTTCTGTCATCCCAATGGGATGTTCTGAGATTCACCAGAATGAAGAAAGGACACCATATTACCATTTACAGAAGTCACCCCCTATCTTTTTGCTAGTTCAGAAAATCCTTTCCTCCCATTCTTCACTTTAAAGGGTTCTGGGAATTTAATCCAATACAAAGCTCACAGTAAACAGCCTGACAAGAGACAGGATGTGAAAAAATGTTCTAGAAGGCCTAAAAGTAAATGGCTTGATAATATTATGAATAATCTCAGCTCTTGAGAATGTTAGACAAATGTTATTCTTTTACATTCTTTAAGTAAAAAAAAAAAAAAAAAGGCAGGGTCAGATTAAATTATTTTAAAGCTTTCTTTTTTAGCTTTAAATGTCTGATGTTAATGTACTACTCTTAGGACAATTTTATTTTAGGGTTGAGAGTTTATATCAGAATCCCAATTTCCAGTCCTATGGCCTAGTCCTCATGTGCCCCTGACTGTTAAAATCACATGTGTTTAAAGCTTGAGAGAAAAACACTAAGGAAGATGCTAACATTCTGACTTTATAAAATGTACTGTTTGAAAGAGAAGTTAGTGACTGGTGCTGACCTTATGTTTGCTGTAAGTTAAAGTTTTTTAAATATTCTAACATGTTACATTTATTTCTAGAACCATATATGTATGTACAACCAGGTGACCACAGATAATAGTGAAACCTAGATTTAAGGAAATGTCTCAGCATCAGACAATTTTTAAATTGTTATAATACAGGCCCCAAGGAGTGGATATTTTCAATATCAGTCATCTGGGAAAGAGATGAATCCTGGGGCAGAAAATGCAGACTGTTCTCGGACTGGGCAAAGAATAACTCCCCCTCCCCATGAGTACAGAAGCCAAGAAAGCTTGGGTTCTGAGATGTGAAAAGGCCTGGAGTGATTTCTTTCTTTTTCTTTTTCTTTTTTTTTTTTTTGACGGAGGAGAGCTGGTTATGTCACATGAAGATACTGTGCCTGCTTTGTTGGTGGTGGTGGCGGTGCCATCACCAACAGGGCAGAGAAATAGCCTGTTCTGCAGCAGCAGGATCAAGGGCAGCATTGTGAAAGCCATCAATAAAATGGAGCTTGAACTCAAGCAGGACATGAGAAAGCCATGTCCCCTCTCCAAGTGACAAGAGGCTTGAGGGCTCTGTACCGATATGCCCATGAGGCAGAATGCAGGAACCCCTCAGAGAGAGGTCAGGATGACATTGAGATGGCTTTACTTCTGGCTTTTATGCCTCTGAACCATGTGTCGTAATAATTTGGAAAATTATTTGGAGTAAAATTGACCATTTAATGCATTAGAATAGTCAAGTTTAAGTAGAATTTTAGATGCAAATAGATTTATCTGGGGGCAGAGGGGAAAGCAGTCATGACTCAAAAGCAGAACAAAAACTAAGTGTACTGAAGGGAAAAATTAAAAAAGGACAGTTTAACACCATCTGGTGCCCATAAGCTAAAATGAAAATGAAACATCTAGTTCTTTGCTAACATTGGATCACAAAAGCATATTTTGTTTTGTACACCCTTGAAAGAAAGTAAATAACCCTTGGGTTGTAGCGAAGAAAGGGTTTGAAGAGCTAAACAAGTTTTCCTAGGACCTCACATCAGTCCCCAGACTATAATCACCTAGAAATAAGGGGTAGTGAGTGCCTCCCAGACACGAAAATGGACAATTCTTTGGAGTCAACCATGGGTGGCAGCTGACCCAAGGTATGAACTACATGGAAATCTGGTGAAATAAAAGAACAACCACCACCAAAAAAAAAAAAAAAAAATGGTTTGGGATGTGTGTGTAAATATGTGATATAAGGGTACTTGAACTTTATGACACGTCTTGGGTCCACAAATCTGTTGTTTCTCTGCTAATGGGTTTACTGGTCACAATTTAAAAATGAGTTTCTGATGCCTTATCTCATCGTCTCCTTTCCCTCTCCGTATCTCTGCAAGAACTGTTCTTAGAACAGGCGACTGCTATTCCACCCCTTAACGGCACTGTGAAGGAATTAGGATTGCAGCAGTCATGATGTCCATTACTCTCTATTTTTTTATGTTTGCCAAGAAGGTTTAAGACCAACTGGAGTAGGAAAGAAAGAGAAATAGTCAACAAAAACAAATGTAACTTCATTTTATTGGCTCAAGCCAATGACTTACATAAGTAAAATGGGAATCATTGTTTTGAAATAAGAGTGAATAATGGGATTTTAGATGAAAAGTATTTTATAGATAACTTAGTCCAGCTCCATCATTTTATAGATGAGGAAATTAAGACAGAAAAACTTTCGCAAGCACAAACAACTAGTTAATGGCAAAGCTAGAACCAGGATTCATCAGTGCTTTTCTTGGGAGATTTGGAAAATATTGAGATAAACAAACTGTTAGAGACTATAATGCTTTCATTGAGACACAATTGGATGAGCTAGAGATTTTTAATCTAGAAAGGGGATAATTCAGAGACACGACTATTTTCAAATACATGAAAGACTGGCAAGTAGAAAAAGGGCTTGAACTTGTTCTGTTGCTGAAGGTAACAAGGACGATTGTGGGGAAGTTGGAGGAACGACTTCAGTGGTTCAGAATAATATAAAACCATTTAAACAGTCAAAATCTGCCAAAATAATTTGTTGGGAGAATAGTAAGGTTTCCATCACCTGAGGTATTTTAGAAAAGCCTGGGAAGTACTGTGTATGTTTTTGTTCTTTAAAAAGCGTGGAGTAAGGGCTGTGGAGGAGAGGATTCAGGCATGAAAATCATTAGGGTGGGGTGACCTTTAAGAGTATGTGATTCTTTACAACCAGGTACCCAATAAGGGTTTCATTTTGGCCTCCAAACTCTAAAACCTATCTTCCCATCTGTTTGCAATAGTTTAAATTTTAATCTATTTCCTATTTCAGGGTGTTACACCCTGAATATTTGATTTGAACGCTGTGGCAGAAGGTCACTCGTATTCATTTATTTTATTTTACTCTTATACACTCGCAGTGAATCTTTTGAATTCATTATGCAAATACATGCAAATCATATGCAAATAATGTGGCCTCAGAAAATGACAAAACCTTAACTGAGTCATCACACCTTTTCTTAAGAAGAGAAGAAATATGCCTTTTCAATGTTTTGAGGGGCAAGAGACAATTTTCTGAGAATGATATTTACATGACATTGGAATTGGTTACTTAGAGGAGTCTTTGCCTCATATTCCTCATATTTATGTAGGACTTTAAGGTTTAAAAAAGCATTTTTACATGAATGACCCCATTTGATCCTTGTAATTACTGTGATGTCAGCATGAACAGAAATTGAAATCCCTGTTCTATTATTCAGATGGGAAATAGACTCAGAGAGGTGGAATGACTTGCCTGAGTTTGCTAGTTGATAAGCGATGGGTCTAGACCTCCTTCCAGTCCAGACTCTCCTCGTTTTACCATAATGCATGCCTTCTTTCAAGCAAGGAGATCTGACGTGGGTCTGGGTTTGCACAGACTATGTTTCACCAAAGCATCTTCAGATGTGCTTTCGTTGATGAAGATGGCATTTTACGTGTGACCATAAAAGACTAAATGTTTGTAGTAGCCCCAGCACAGCACTACATGCGTCGTTTGTCCGACTCCCTCTGCTCTTTGGCATCTGCTCTGAAATCTCCAATGAAGAACTTTCTGCACCCCATCCACTCTTCAGCTCCTTGAGGAAAAATTTGTTCTTAAGCTATGGAGAATAATAACACAGTCTCTACAGTGAAACTGTTGGGATCTGAAGCCCTAATCCACCACTCTCTAGTTGTGTGGCCTTGGAGAATTCATTTTATTTTTCTAAATGTCAGTTTTTACATCTAAAAAGTGGGATAAATAATAGCACCTCTTTAATAGAATGTGTGATAAGGAGATACACAAGAAAAAAAACAACCTGCCCACTGTCTGAAACATAGTTAAGTGCTCGATAAATGGTAGCTACTATAATTATTGTATTAGTGATAGAAATACAGTAGTGGTAGTATTAGTAGCAGTATCTCAAGTCATTGTGACCCCATTGCTAACAATGGGGCTCTTGGAAATGGAATGGGAAAACAACAATGCTAAGTATCTCCTATATGCCAGAGGGTTAGAGAACAGACACTTTTTGAGGTAGCTAAATTCAGCCCTGTGAGGAATGCATGAACTTTCACTTTCTCTAATCATTACCACATCTTGCATCATAATGAGGGTAATTGCAATCCTACTTCTAAGGAGAAATAGAGCCAAGGCTCAAAGTCTGCTCTCTTAGCCAGAGGTTCTCCATATAGTAATGTCCTCTACTTCTCCAAGTCAGATTGGGAGGAAACAAAAGGGGATTCCACCCCAGCTGTTTTAGCAGGCCTGAATCATCACATCAATGGACAGATTTGTCCTTCTGTTCGAAGACCAGAGGTGAATACTGATGAGGTGTCCAAGGCAGCAGCAGACAGAGGTACAAGGAGCAGCTACACTTGATTGTTTCCTTTTGCTTCAGTCCCCAGCTCTAGCAGGCACCACCACTGGCTCAGTCCCTCCATCGGTCCGCACAGAGTGCCCTGCTTTTCCGGCATGCCTTAGCACCTCTCCCAGTCACTAGCCTGGGACAACTAACAAAGTGATGTCCTTTGAGAGGACAGCTTTCTGCTTCCACAACATCTCTCGAGGAAAGGGACCAGAAGCCACTGAAGTCCAAACTCTTGAAGTTAGCCTGAAGTCAACAGAAAACATCACACAGGATCTGTATGACCAGTCCAAGAGGGCTGCACAACTGATTTGTGTTGCCAGGAAATACACTGGGCCATTCTGGGGCTGGGTCCTCAGCTATTTTTGGCAAGGAGGGGTGGTATGAAAAGAGACTTCCCCTTTTTGCAGCACAGAGTCACGAAATGCTGGGCAGCCAAGAGGATTTCTTATTCTGAGATCGCCCTTCTGAACACCTCTAGCTGCTAAATTACCGAGGCCATCATTGCTTGATTAGATTTCTCAGCTCCAAGCATTTGATAAGCCCAGCAAGCTGGGGTGGCATCGATCCCGTGATGGCTCCCCTTGTCAGCGGCTTCCTACTGGCGGTGTTGTTTTCTGCCAGCTGTAATGTCATCACCTCCTTGGATCAGATGTGCATGGAGGTGAGTCCAATTTTTTTGTCTTTCTCTGCATTAAACTGCCTGGAAATTTGAGATTCAGACTGCAGTCCTATCTGAGCCCTGGCATCCTAATACCCACTGTCTTTGAAATGGCAACAAGATGTGTAGAAGGTGTTTTGCTTCATTTTGTTTTATTGTGAAAAAGGAGCAACAGAGTTCATTCAGGGGATGATCTTGTAGATCCTTAGTAGGAAGAAATGAGAGTTTTCCTTTTCTATAAACAATGCCCTCCGAATAATCCTAATTGGGACATAAAATATCAACAGGGTTCCAGTGCAAAGAGCAGACCTGCAAACCTGCTTCCAGCACGTGGAGGAGCTATTTGTCCAACATCCTAACACATGGCCACTACCCCAAATAGTCCTTTCGGTTCCTGGCTCTCAGGGTGGGGATTAGTAAAGATGACCTGTGCCAGGTTTTAGAGCAAATAAAGATCATTCTGAATGAGTCTGGCGTTCTCCTTGAGTTGGACAGCCATCCATCTGTTTTCCTAGCCCACAGGAGTGACATCCAAGAACAGAGCCAAATTGCACCTTCTGTTTTGGACCATAGCAATATTTATCAACCTGTGGGAAGTCTTGGAGTAGTAAGAGAGATAGGAGAGGGCCTCAGTCTCTTGCTATCTTCTAAAATGCTTCAATCTTTCTCTGACTGCCTCTGACCCCAGCAAGTGTCTAGCATCACATGCCTGTTAGACAAGGGCTGGAGGCAAGATGGACCATCTTGGTGGCTGGGCGGGCTGCTTTCCTAGGTTGAAGCTGAAAGCAGAAGTGGAGGCAGGAGAAGCAAGATGCAGAAAGGTGGTGCTTGAGAGTCACAAAAGAATGATAAGGGAGAGCAGGGCAAAGATCTGCCAGGCGACAGCAAGAATCCCAGCCAGGACTGGAAAAGGCCTTGAAGCAGAAAGAAGCAGAACCTTGTTCATCCCGTATTAGAATGGAGTCCGGATGGGCTCAGACCAAGAGGAGGGACAATGCCCAGGAGAAATTAAGGCTGGAAAGGTAGGGAACTTTCTCTGAGCTGCCATAACAATGTCCTACAGACTGGGTAGCTTAAACAATAGAAACTTACTTTCTCCTGATTCTGGAGGCTAGAAGTCTAAGATCAAGGTGTTGGCAGGGTTGGTTTCCTCTGAGACCTTTCTTCTTGGCTGGTTGATGGCCGTCTTCACCCTGTGTCTTTACATCATCTTCTTTCTGTACTTGTCTATCTCTAAATTTATTCTTTTTATAAAAACACTAGTCATATTGGATTAGGGCCTAATCTAAGGATCTCATCTTAATCTAATGACCTCTTTAAAGATTCTATTTTCAAATAAAGTCACATTCTGAGGTATTCAGGTTAAAATTTCAACATGAATTTGGGGAGACACAATTTAGCCCATAACAGAAGGGGCGAGTAAGAGGTTTTTAACAGCCCAGAAGGCTGTCTCCTCATCATTCAGGTTGGAAGGTCAGTTTCACACAAACATGTGGGTGGCATCATAAGAGGGTAGGAGTAGAGACATCACCTTCTCAGTAATCACGTAGGCATGCCATTCACTTCTGACAACATTCACAGAGAGGATGATATTACCATTACATTCCATCTCATTGAGAAGCAGGCTTTTTTTAAATGCTACACTCTTAAGCCTACCAGTTCAACTCTTAAATCCCTATATTCCTGCAAAGCCCCATCAGCTCTTCTGAAGACCACAAGCAAGTCCTGGGAGATTTGGAAAGCCCGTGAAAACAATGGACCAGTCTGGCTTCCTACTAAGGCCACTAGACCTCAGAGCTACTAGTTTCTTTTATTGCAAATGATTCCTGCCTTGACAGGGGAAGGGGGAAGAGGCAGGGAGAGCACCTTCATGCTTTTGCTGCCTGTTCTGAAGCCTCCTGTGATAGTCAGCTGGCAAGAGTGGTGCTGAGGGTCCCAGGACCTTTAGGCCTGGCACTGTGCTGCGGTGAGAGTTTTCCTTTTTGGATAAGTTTGTATTGAAACCTTCTAATACAACCACCTCCCTGCAACTCTCTCTATGAAAGGACTCTGATTTTAAATGCCCTGGGACCTATACAAATATCATTGGATCTGTATTTTCCCTGACCTCCCCTATCATGTACGAGTTCTGGCAGCAGGATTCTAAGGCCAAGAACTGAGCTCTCACTCTAGCTGAGTACTGGGAAAGTTGTGGGAGATACAAAGATGAATGAGAGCTTGCTCCAGATGGTAAGAAACTTGTAGGCTACAGGCAAGTGGGACAAAAGTAAGAGTGGTGGGAGAGGAAGCTTTGACTTAAGGGTTTGGCCCTTTTTCAAGTACAAGTTACCCCAGTTTGCCCGCCCCTCCCCCTTGCTTTCCTTTCCTCTTTAGTTCTTCCCCTCTAGCTTAAGCATAACTAACCACGTACTATCATGGTGGTTCATGTGACCACCATTAGCTTACCAGATCCTAATCTGAAAACAAGGTTTTTGTTTTGCTTTGAGTTTAGTAAAATTTTTATTAAAGTAAAACACATAAGCAGAAAAGTCTGCCAATCCTGCATGCACAGTTCAGTGAGTTTTCACTAAGTGAGCACATCATATGACCAGCACACAGATGGAGAAACAAAGTTCTCAGCACCTCAGAAGCCCCCTCACACCTCTTCTCAGTCACTAGTCCCCTTGCCTCTTTTTGAATCTTACATACGTGAGACCGTGCAGTATGTACTCTTCTGTGTCTGGCTTCTTTTGCTCAATCTTAAATATATGGGATTTCTTGATGATGTTGCGTGAAGCGATCTGTTCATTTTCATCACTGTATGGTATGCGGCTGTGTTAGTGAGCCATCATTTATTTATTCATTCTACTTAATGAATATTTGCATTGTTTTTCATTTTTTGGCTATTATGAATGCTGCTGCTTTGGGATTCTTATCTATGTCTTCAGTAAGCGCATGTGCAAATTTTTATTAGGTGTATACCAGGGAGTGAACGCATTTGGTCACAGGATATACCCATGATTTGCTTTAGCAGACATTGCCAAACAGTGTCCAAAGTGTTGGCACACATTTATACTCATCGGCAATGTATACAAGCTCTGATGGCTCTACAGCCTCACTAATATTGGCTATTATTTGTTTTAAAAACCCATTCTGATGGATAGGTAGTGGTACTGTGGTATTTCACTGGGATTTAATTTTTTTATTTTCCTAATGAATAATTAAACTGAATATATTTTCATACTTTCATTGGTCATTTGTATATCTGTGTGTGTGTGTGTGCACGTGCGTGTGCACATGTGTCATAAGCAACAAAATTAGATCCATGACCAAGTCTGACAAATATGGAAAGCATAGCTGGAATTCAGTGTTCTGTGATTTGGAATCTGGTAACATTTTAGATGTGCTCTTGAATAATTACTTGGGAGTGTAGGCATGATTCATCATTTCAAATGGTCTCATTTTGGCTACCTTGTCCCCTCAAAACCATGGTAGGAGACAGTCTTCCAGTCCTAGGTATGGGAGGAGGGAATGGGTGCTTAGTAGAGCTCATTTTTTCGAGCTCCAAGTTCATAGATATGAGGGCTTCCCAATAGCTCTAGATAATGCTATGATGCTGTGATGATCTAGTGAAATGCTGACTCCTCTTGGGAGTGCTTCACATACATTAGCCGATTAATCCTCAGAGTTGGCCTGCAAAGAAAGGTTATTGTCCTTCATCTATAGTTGAGGAAAAAGGAAACAGAGAACACAGCTTGGTGGTTGAGCGCTGGGATTTGAACCCAAGCAATCTGACTGGAGACAAACAGAAAATGAACTGCACATAATTGGAATGCCCTTTGCCTGGAGGAATCAGATTGACAGCAAAGTTTTAGGACTATGCCCTCTTGGGAATGCTTTGTTTTACTTGCAGAGAGTAATTGTTACACTGGGATTTGGCTCAGTCAAATTGCTATCTCTGGATAGTGGAGTGATTAAGTGGGGGGAGCCAGGGTTCAGAGTCCCAGACTTCTTGTGCATGGGGGAGCTGGCTGCTGCATGTGCCAAGTACAGATGAGACATCTGAAAAGGTGGGAATCAGCACCAGAGTGAAACTCAAATGATTCTAAATTAGAAAATAATTTCGACATTTGTGAGAAGAGAAAATACAGTGGGATGGCAGGGAGTTAGAGATACAGCACAAAGAAGCAAAATAAGATTCTGATTGAAAAAATGCAAATGAATACCTGCAGGGAAAAGGGATTGCAAACACAGATGTAACATTTGGAAGTCCTGCTTTGAGTAAAAGGCACAGCTCCGATATGAAGCTAGAGACAAGAGGCTGGTGCAGGTCCCAGGGCACACAGTTCCTGAGGAAACGCCCCATGACTTGGAATGGGCGTGGGCAAGGGGCAGTTATCCTGAGTACCATGTAGCCTGGTGCAGTCCTGCCGGCTGCAAGAGTTCATTTTCAGAAGGGTGCTGTCTGCCATGGAACCAGTCAAAGCAGAAGAGTGAGAAGGTGACTTTGGAAAGTGACTCTAAACAGAAGTCTGGAGAATGAAGGCTGGGTTTATAGGAAATGGTCATGCAGAGTCCAGAGAAACCACAAGGGCTGCAAAAGTGGTGGTGGATATCGGCCTGAAAAAGTAACTGAACACGTAGCTCTGGCAACCAGCCTAGCTCTGGACAAAATGGCTATGGTCACACTGTATTCTTTTCTGCATCCTGTCCCTTTCTTCTCTGTTACATATTCATTCTGCTGTCCCGAAATCCTGTGCTATGTATGCTGTCAGAACCCGGTCTTGAAAAGTTTTGATATGAATCGTGACACAAAAAGACAAAACCTCACTGATGTGGTGTGTCTGACAAAAATGTATAACCTGAATCAAATCATGAGGACAGATTTAAAAAAAAAAAAAACGTTTGAGGGACATCCTGTCAACTATGAGCCTGTATACATATATAAAA